TGGCGCGTGGTCGTTTTTTTTTGGGCCCTGGAGCTCTTTGACCCCGTCCCGGTCGGCAGGGTGCGCTGGTGCGTGGTCGTTTGTCGTGGGACCTGGAGCTCTTTGACCCCGTCCCATCGACCAGGTGCTCTCGGCATCTTGGTTGCGCCAGGAGGTCTGGGCCCGATCCCTGTTGGCAGGTGTCCTCACACCTGGAGGGAGCAGGCATCTTGTGGTCTGCACGGCAGGGTCCGTAGCCATCTGGGCTCAGGTGGCTCACAGGGTGTTGCACGGGAACTTTCTGCTTCAGATCCCCCACAGGCGACCCATGGCGGAGGTGACGTTGAACAGTTTCCTCAAGTCAGTGGACGCCAAGGAGCCGACGCCCGAGGTGTTGAGGGCGACAGAGACGTACTTCACGGACAATGGGGTGTCTGAGCCGGGCCAGTTAGTTGGCCTGAAAGAGAGTGACGCGAAACCAGACTTATCCCTACCAGTGCTAGGCTTAGCTCGACGAGCGATTCGCTTGGCAAGCCCAGAGAAGCAGAGCAGTGGTGCCTCATCAGCACCTGCTGCATCTGTTCTCACCCCGCAGTCCCAGCAATCACTCCCCCAAGCCATGCAGCAGGACGTCCTGGACATGGTTGGGCCCGAGTATTCTGCCGAGGTGGTGGCCAAGCTTTTAGCAGTAGCGCCTGAAAAGGTGAATGCTGCAGACAAGCTGGCAAAAGCGGGTCTCGAGGAACTCCCGTTCCATATGCAGGCAGAGGAGCTGGTGTGGCGGGTTTTGCGCGCAGAGAACGTTGCCACTGAAAAGGGCCAGCGGAAATCGTTCTCGTACATAGACCTGACGGCCAAAGAGGTCTTGCCACTGCGGCTTCCTTCGGATACAATCGGAGGGAAAGCGCTCGCGGGAGGCGAACGGGGTACGCCGCTTGACCCGTCGACCTCTGTCGCGACGCTTGGCCAACTCACCAGTGCCTTGCGGAGTGCTACAGCAACCCGCCGGTTCTTCAGGTCCTTCGTGCAGTGGACAACGGCGTTTGACAGGTACGCAGTGGCAGCGGTGGCCATGAAACAGCTTACATGGGCAACCGCTGCGTGCTACAAGGACGAGTTGGCCAAGTTGGTGGAGCAGAGCAAGTCCATCCAGCACAACCAGTTCTTAGTCATCTTATACGATGACATGTTCCGGAGGCAGTTGGCAAAGAGAGCGCCCGTGTCGGAGCCAGAGCTGGACATCCAGAAGGAGTTCCGCTCCATTGACAAGAATATCTTGGAAGCGGCCACCTTGCGCTTGGACGCCGTGCTAGTGCAGGCGGGCCTGAGGTCGGCGCACGGGCCCCCGTCGCCATCTGGACTTGCAGCCCCGTTGCCGGCATCCCTTGAGTCAGTCATGGCAAAGCAGCACGCGGCGGCCGACGCCATCCAGCAGAGGACGGAGCAGGCCAGCAAAACATTCGCGCAGCACCAGCAGCAGCTCAACCAGGCGAAGCAGCAGCACGCGTGGTTGCAGAAGCAGCAGGCCGATTCGAAGGGCGGCAAAGGCGGCGGCGGGAAGAAAGGAGGCGACAACGCGAACTGGCAGTGGGTCGAGGGCGAGGGGTACGTCAGCAACGAGCGCAAGAAGTTCCACGACTTCAGAAGCAGCAAGAAGAAGGGGAGCAAGGGCGATGCGCGGTGACTATCTTCTGAGGACTCAGACGATTCAGAAGGTAGCAGTGGAGGCGCTATTGCTTAACCTAAACAGAGAGAGTTGCTGGCTGACCCTGAGAATCCTTTTGTACCCAGTGGTCTCGGTGCCCCCAAGGGGCTCTCAGTGTTGGAGCATATCGCATTCGCACTCGGAGCGCGGCGCCCGGACGAAGAGGTTGCCTTGCACGGCGCTCTCAATGTGAAAGTTCGTTTAGCTTTGGATTGGGAGAGCGAGTGCGAAGCAGCAGATCTTGACACTTCCCGCCTGGCGGTGTTCAGGGAACTTGAACATCGGGCGGCCCGCTGTGCTCGTGACCACTTGCGCGGAGAACGGCCGAATCGTTCGAGAAATCCTGTGGCCAAGCGACTGAATTATTCGTTGTTTCACTCATTGTTTACTGAGTTGAATTATAGAGAACTGGACCCATCTTTAATGGATGATCTGTGTGGCTTCCCGTTAATCGGACAACTCCCATGCTGCGGCCCGGACGCGAGGCCAGACGGCAAGCCCGCCTGGCACCCCGTAGGGGTAGACCAGTTGAGGCGGGAGCGCATTGAAAGGAACATGAGAATCATAGACCAGATGCGACCCAGCGAGTGGGACGACGACATCATGCAAATTACCCAGGAGGACGCTCGAGAAGGATTTTGCTCGCGCCTTCAACTCTTGTCGTTTGACATAGCGCAGTCAAAGACCTTGGCGAGGCGTTTTCCCGCGAGGGAAGAGCGCCCGAAAGGGTGGCGCACTAGACCAATAGATGACGAGACGGAAGGAGGGCAGAACAAGGCAACATTCATTCCTGACAGAGCCAAGCACGATGGCATTGAGGAGTTGGTTACGGCAGTGCTTCATTGTCTTCGTCATCATGCGGAACCTCGGCTCTGGAAGCGCGATGTTTCCAAAGCGTACTGGCGTGTTCCAATGGCGAGCGAGCACGAGGAATTGTTGTCGCTTCGCGAATCCCCACCAGCCCATCCAGAAACGATGCCCAGAGGAATTGCCTCGATCAGAGAAGTGGGCAGCACACAGAGGAAGCCATTATGAGACATCTTGGGATATCTTGAGCCATCTTGGAGGTCATTTTGGGCTCTCCCAGACGCTCTTGGAGTCATCTTAATCCGTGCCCCCCCCCAAGAGGCCTCCATGTGGCTAAAACCTGTGTAGAATCAATGATTAGGCATTCTCGCCGAGGCCTCTTGGAGCATCTTGGGTGCATCTGGGGGGGCTCTTGGGGCCTCTTGGGGGTCTCTTGGGGGCCTCCGGGGGGCCTCTTGGGGGCCTCTTGGGGCCATTTTGGGGCCATCTTGGGACCTCTTGGGGCTTCCTGGGCGCTTCTTGGGGCCATCTTGGAGGAGATCGATCAAACAAGAGGGGGGGGTGAATTAGCGCCCCCCCTCGGAAGCCCCTAAAATCGCCTCTTGGACCCCTCTTGGAACGCTCTTGGAGTGCTCTTGGGCGCTCTTGGGGCCGTCTTGGGGCTCTTTTGGGGCTCTCTTGGGGCCCTCTTGGGCCATCTTGGAGCCATCTCCAGGCCTCGGATGGCCATCGGAAGCGAAAAGGCGAGAAAGCAAAAATCATTGATTTTCCTTAGGTTTTGGGACGATTTTGGCCTCTTCGGGGCCTCCTTGGGGAGCTGTTTGGCCACTTGGAGTTATCTTGGGGCCGTCTTTGGGCTTCTTGGAACCATCTTAGGAGCCATCGTGAGCGATCTTGCGCTATCTTGAGCCATCTTGGAGCTCATCTTGGGTTCTCTGAGGCGCTCTTGGAGCCGTCTTGGGCCATCTTGGACGCTCTAACTACCCGCGGCCCCCCCCGTCCAGGTCCAGGGGAGGGGGTAGGGGGAGGGGTAAACCCCTCCCCAAGGGGGAAGAGGGAGGGGTGGAAGAGGATCTGCTCTAGACCACCTACGCCCAGAGGGCTGGTGGGATTCTCTTGGTTCGTGTTCACATGGAATGGCAACTTGTGGCGTGCTCGTCACTACGGCATGATGTTCGGGGCATCAGCTGCGAACGCAGCGTGGCACAGGCTGGGGAGCTTTATCCGGCACGTCGTCCTGGTCAAGTTCCGTGCTCCTCTTTTCCGTTACGTCGATGATTTCTTTGGCGTGTCGCGGAGGGGAGTAGGGATAACAGGGGGCTGGTCGGTAACGGAGGTCCTTCGTTTGTTGGGGCTCGTTACAGATCCAGCCAAGGACGTGGGCGATACTCTCGTGCTACCCGTTTTGGGTGCAGTAGTAGAGGTATATTTGGAAGATGGACCAGTGTCATCCACAGTAGCTCAGGACAAAGCACGGCGGTGGTTCAGGGACCTTGACATTCATGAAGCTATCCGCACTGCGGGTCGTTTAGGGTCAGCAATCGCATCGTCCAGGTGCAAGGTAGGAAGGGCTTTCGTCAAGCCGTACTTCGCGCAGGCCTTCGCGCCTCTCCCGGGTATGCCACCATTGCTGAGGCGAGCAAATCTGTTCTGGCAGCACTACCTCGTCCTACGCCCTCCACACCGCCGGTTTGCGGAAGAGTTCCGGAGGCGCAGGGTCACGATGTTCACAGGCGCGTCGGGGGAATCTCGGTGCATTGCTGCAGTGGCCGCGCTCCATGAACCAGGGGGCCACTGCACCTGGTTGTGGACGCGCGCCACAGTTCCTCCGCAGATCTGGGCTTTACTGCTGGACAGAGACGACAACCAGATAGGTTACCAAGAGTTCCTTGGTTTCGTTCTCGGTTATCATAGCTATGGCATCGCAGAAGCAATGGTCATGGAGTTCATTGACAACGATGGCGTACTCCATGCGCTGATCAACGGGAGCGGCCGCGCTCCAGATTTGAATTTTGGCGTAGGAATTACATGGCTGGACATGGCATCCAGGGACATATCTCTCCAGTTAGGGAGAGTAGAGTCGGAAGCGAATTTCGCAGATGGCCCATCTCGCAACGATCTTAGCATGATGCATCAGCTTTCAGCTAAGTTTGTAGAGCCAACCTTGCCAAAGTGGCTCCTGAACACATGGGGCTGGGACATTTTGTGACCGGCGGAAAATAATATTTCTGGTTTCTTTCCTTTTGTGATCCGTCTGATTGAAACAGGAACAGTTGTTGCAATGGCTCTTCTGAGGCAGCGTCGGGGTCGGCAGCGTTGGGGGCAAGCGACCCCCCCCCCCATCGCAGCTGCGCAGAATTGCCCAACGAGAGTCCGCGGAGAGCGGGAGAAAAGAGGCTTGTAGTTGAGGGTAAGAATGAGGGGCGCGTGTTTCTGCGTGACAGAGTAAGACCGTTCAGGCACCTAAACAATCGTCTCGCGCGTGCTGCTGGGGTCAGAGAGTGAGCGAGGGCAGGTGAGTTTGGGCGGAAACCCAACTCGTTGGGTGCTTGCCCAAATGATCTTGACAACGAACACTCTGTCGTCACGGCGACTGGGGGGCTGGAGCAGGGAGCCTGAGCTCCGGCGAAGGGGGTTTGATTTGTCCCCCCTTGCTCCTTGAGCCGGTTTCCCTCCCCCTTTTTCTTCCTTTTCCCCCTCGGTCGTCTCCTACGCCTGACCCAAAAGCAGCAGGGGGACGTAGCGAGCAGTCAGCGCACAGGCCTCCAGAGCAGAGCGGGCGCGAGGACGGTGGTCTCTCTGTCGTTTTGCGCGCCCCGGAGCTATCGACCCCGTCCCCAGGAGGCTCTTCTTCTGCCTCGTCGGTGCTGTGGGGTGTGTTGACGGCGCCGCTCGTGGAGGGAGCTCTGCACCTTCCAGCTGGTGCGTGGTAGTTTTTTTTGGGCCCTGGAGCTCTTTGACCCCGTCCCAGTCGGCAGGGTGCGCTGGTGCGTGGTCGTCTGTCGTGGGACCTGGAGCTCTTTGACCCCGTCCCATCGACCAGGTGCTCTCGGCATCTTGGTTGCGCCAGGAGGTCTGGACCCGATCCCTGTTGGCAGGTGTCCTCACACCCGGAGAGAGCAGGCATCTTGTGGTCTGCACGGCAGGGTCCGTAGCCATCTGGGCTCAGGTGGCTCACAGGGTGTTGCGCGGAAACTTGCCGCCCGCCCGCCCCCTCGTGCATGTATTCCATATTGGCAAGGGCAGCTGTCATCTGTTTTCTTGTTCATTCGAGGTGGTGCACTGAGCAGCCAGAGATGTCCAAGAGCAGCCGCGAACGCAGTGCCGTGCCGGCTGGAGAAGCGAGGTGGTCTACCACGCAACTTCGTGCAGCAGGTGTCTTACTCCCCAAAAGGTCCAAAGACATCACGTCGCGGGTTCACTGTCCGCATGAATGTGCTAGGGCGTTTGCCCTGAGAGACCAAGTCCTTGCGGCGCTCGTGCGAGGCGACCATCTTCGGATGTTCCCATTGCTGAAGTCTTTGGGCCAACTGAAGGTGACGACGCAGATTCTGGCAGTAACGGGAATTGGCCACCTTGTGGCGGATGCGTCCCTTTGGAGACGGTCGCCGCACCCCCGCGCAGTAATATTTGCTAGGGTGTTGAAGCAGAAATGGCTCTTGGACGTCAGAGGGACTGACACGCTGGACATAATGCGTGCGGATTTGCGGGGCGAGTTGAAAGGGTTCAAGAACGAATCTTTCCTTTGCGCGGTGAACGTATGGTCAGATGTGCTAGAAGAGATGGACTCGCCGCCGCTGCCGCGACATGTACGCCAGTGTCTAGGGCTCATACTCACCTTGTGCGGTTTCAACCACATCCGTCATCTGGGTGGTTTGACGGCCGCCGAGCTCAAAGGAGTCACGGACTCGCCGGTGCTTCAGGCTGCGTTGGAACGCGTGCTGGCACGTGCGTCACTGGTGCAGCCGACGGCGCAGCTGAGCCACGCAGGAGCGCAGGCCCGGCCAGCGACGTCATCTGCTGAGAGTTTCGTTGGCTCTATATCACCGCAGGTAGTGCAGGAACTTGAAAGCCATGTTCTAGCAGAGCTGAAGGGCATGGGCATCACGGACCTGGACCAGGGAGCGAGACCCATGGAGGTCATCCACATGGTTGAAGGCTGCGAGGGAACAGGGGGGTAATCCTTTGAGTGTGCTCCAAGAGAGAGCGAGGCTCCTTAAATTGGAGTCGGCTAGAGCATCGCTAGCAAGTGTCTCAAGTGCCCTCCGTGCCTGGCACGCCTTCGCAGTCCATATTCAGGGGCTTCCAGCGCGTGCTACTCTACCACCGCGCTCAGAGGCCCAGGCGCGCGAGTTTCTGGCAATTTTCCGGTCGGGGAAAGCAGCCAGCAACTACGGCGGGTACGTGAGGTGGACCTGCGTCCACTTGGGCCTGGACGTTTCATGGCATGGCGAGGAGGTGAAGCAGACCCTGGCAGGAGTAAATAAGAGAGCTATGCGGTTCACAGGTGGACCAGCCAGAGTCTCGCAACTGCTCGCATCGCCAATCCTGAACAAAGTAGTGCAGCTTGCTGACGCAGCGAACGTGCAAGATGGCTTCCAGGAGCTAGTGATAATCAGCTGGGCGTTTCTCTTGAGAGTTCAGTCAGAGGGAATCCCGCTGGAAGCTGGAGCTGCGCGGGAGGAAGGTGCGTTGCCGGCGGGGAGGCATTCTTCAGTCTGGATTGCAGACGGAGCATTGCACCTGCTTTCCGGCGAAGGAAGCACCGTCCAGCCGGCTCCCATCTCGCCAGAAAGTGTTCGTGTACTCGTATAGGCGAACGCTTGCGCCCTGTGCACAGGATAGGAGCGTTCTTACAAAGCAGAGTTTGCGGTCAGAAATTGTTCAATTTCAGCGGCAGCGTCTTTGTCAGCGCTTTGCGGCGATTTCTCACCCTGGCATTGGTACCAGGAGCGGCAGCATTCTCCCTGAAGTCGTTCCGGGCAGGGAGAGCGACTGAATTGGCAAGTCAGGGCGAGTCCCTAGGTGCCATATTGGCAGCAGGCGAGTGGAAATCATCGCAGTTTCTCAGATATGTTGACATCGACGTAGTCGAGCAACAGGTATTGTTCGATAGAGCCGTGAATTCTGACAGCGACACGGAGGCTGGTGATGCTGCAGTCGCGGATGCAGTAGTTTAAGTTTTCTCCTGAGCGGGCAGCTGAGCGGGGGGGGGCAAGCGACCCCCCTCTCATCGCAGCTGTGCGGAATTGCCCAACGAGAGTCCGCGGAGAGCGGGAGAAAAGAGGCTTGTAGTTGAGGGTAAGAGTGAGGGGCGCGTGTTTCTGTGTGACAGAGTAAGACCGTTCAGGCACCTAAACAATCGTCTCGCGCGTGCTGCTGGGGTCAGAGAGTGAGCGAGGGCAGGTGAGTTTGGGCGCGCCGAAATGGCCCGGGGCCGCCATGCGCGCCCTGCCACTGGCGCTCTCGGTGGAGCCCCCTCCCTGCGGGGCCGCGGCCCTCGTGGGGGCGTGCCGAAATGGCCCGAGACCGCCGCGCGAACCCTGCCGCTGGCGCCTTCGGTGGAGCTTCCCACGAGGCCACGATCCTTGCGAAAGGGGTGTGCCGAAATGGCCCGAGGCCGCCGCGCGAACCCTGCCGCCGGGGGCCTTCGGTGGAGCTCCCAACGAGGCCACGATCCTCGTGAGGGGTGCGTCGAAATGGCCTGAGGCCGCCGTGCGAATGTTGCTACTGGCGCCTTCGTTGGAGCTCGCTATGGGGCCACGATCCTCGCGGGGGGTGTGCCGAAATGGCCCGCGGCCGCCGTGCGAACCTTGCCATTGGCGCCTTCGGTGGAGCTCCCCATGGGGCCACGATCCTCGTGAGGGGTGTGCCGAAATGGCCCGAGGCCGACATGCGAACCCTGCCGCTGGCGCCTTCGGCGGAGCTCCTGCGAGGCCACGATCCTCGTGTGGGGTGTGCCGAAATGGTCCGGGGCTGCCATGCGAGCCCTGCCACTGGGGCCTTCGGTGGAGCTCCCTACGGGGGCGCGATCCTCGCGAGGGAAGTGCCGAGATGGCCCGTTGCCGCCACGCGAACCTTGCATGTGGGGCCTTCGGTGGAGCATCCCATGAGGCCGCGATTATTGTGAGAGGCGCGCCATAATGGCCCGGGGCCGCCGAGCGAACTTTGCCACTGGCGCCTTCGGTGGAGCTCGCATGGGGCCACGATCCTCGTGAGGGGTGTGCCGAAATGGCCCGAGGCCGCCGTGCGAATTTTGCAATTGGCGCCTTCGGTGGAGCTCCTATGGGGCCACGATCCTCGTGAGGGGTGTGCCAAAATAGCTCGAGGCCGCCATGCGAACTTTGCCAGTGGCGCCTTCGGTGGAGCATGGAGCACCATGGGGCCACGATCTTCGCGAGCGGTGTGCCGAAACGGCCCGAGGCCGCCATGCGAACCTTGCCGCTGGCGCCTTCGTTGGGGCTCTTATGGGGTCGCGATCCTCGTGAAGGGTTTGCCGAAAAGGCCCGAGGCCGCCATGTGAACTGTGTTATTGGCGCCTTCTGTGGAGCTCATATGTGGCCACGATCCTCGCGATGGGGCGTGCTGAAATGGCCCGAGGCCGCCATGCGAACTTTGCCACTGGCGCCTTCGGTGGAGCTCCCTATGGGGCCGCGATCCTCGTCAGGGGTGTGCCGAAATGGCCCGGTGCCGCCATGCGAGCTTCGCTATTGGCGCCTTCGTTGGAGCTCCCATGTGGCCACGATCCTCGTGAGGGTGTGCCGAACTGGCCAGATTATTCGGATGCTGATAATGGTGATGAGGATGACGATGATGATGAGGGCGATTACGATGATGCGATGGGGGAGGGAGGGGGCAGCGGGGGGAGGAAGGAACGCGGGGCGCTGTCTCTTCAAAACGAGGATCCAACACCACAGGATGCTTGGGGACAACGCGCCGGGGGAACGGAAACGTTGAGATTATTTTCGGTGAGAAAAGGCAACATATGGACGCTTGGGGGACACTCGAATCGTTTTGTAATCTTCCACAACATGAAACTTTGTGTAATCTCTTACAGATGGGGAACCACTTGCAACCGCCGGAAAACATAGCCTGGTGAAGGACCCAACCATGCGCAGTTGTGAATACCGCAATTGTGAAGCACATCTTCGCCCGCGCTCCCTACGTGGCCACGTTTTCCCGCCCGGGGCCCGACGTGCTCGGGGGCGCGTTCGCGGCCGTCTTCGCGGGCGCCGACGACGACAAGGGCGGCGCCCCTCTCACCGAGGAGCAGAAGCAGGAGAAGGCTTTGAAAGCCATGGGGAAGGATGCGGCGTTGCACGTCGACAAGGCGGAGTACGACGCCCAGGCGCGGCTGTTGAAACAGCACAACTATGGGGCCACGATCCTCGCGAGGGGTGTGCCGCAGTGGCCCGGGGTCGCCATCCGGACCCTGCCACTGGCGCCTTCGGTGGAGCTCCTGTGAGGCCACGATCCTCGCGATGGGTGTGCCGAAATGGCCCGAACCCTGCTACTGGCGCCTTCGGTGGAGCTCCCCATGGGGCCACGATCTTCGCGAGGGGTGTGCCAGAATGGCCCGAGGCCGCCATGCGAGGCGTGCCACTGGCGCCTTCGGTGGAGCTCCTTGCGGGGCCACGATCTGGAGCTCCCTATGGGGCCACGGTCCTCGTGAAGGGTGTGCCGACATGGCCCGGGGCCGCCATGCGAACCCTGCCACTGGCGCCTTCGGTGGAGCTCCCTATGTGGCCACGATCCTCGCGAGGTGTGTGCCGAAATGGCCCGAGCTGGCGCCTTCGGTGGAGCTCCCTTATGGGGCCGCGATCCTCGTGAGGGGTGTGCCGAAATGGCCCGAGGCCGCCGTGCGAACCCCGCTACTGGCGCCTTCGGTGGAGCTCCCCATGGGGCCACGATCCTCGTGAGGGGTGTGCCGAAATGGCCCGAGGCCGCCATGCGAACCCTGCCACTGGAGCCTTCGGTGGAGCTCCCTGTGGGGCCGCGATCCTCGTGAGGGGTGTGCCGAAATGGCCCGAGGCCGCCATGCGAACCCTGCCACTGGCGCCTTCGGTGGAGCTCCCAGTGGGGCCACGAAGCGCTGCACTGGGAATGGCGAAGCGCAGGGAGCAGGGAGGAGGAGAAGGAGGAGGAGGGGGGGGGGCAGCGGGAGGAAGGAAGGAGTGACGCGGGGCACCGTCTTTTCAAAACGAGGACCCAACACCACAGGATGGTTGGGAAAAAAAAAATTATTCTGGAACCCTCCGCAATCGGAACCGCAAGAGGATTTTTATTATTTTTCCGATGTTTAATAGTTGTTGTTCGTATCCCCTGAAGGTAATAGCATGTGTTTCCTTTTCCCTGTGTGTTTTGTTACAGGTGTTTTTCAATATGTATTGTTTTCCATGTTTTGCCGTGCCTTGTTCGGAAGGGGAGAACGCCTTCCTTTTGGGACGGGTTACAGATACGGGTTTCTCTTGTGCTGGTTACAGAGGGATCCCTTTTTGCGGAGGATTGCAAGTGGATCCCTTTTTGTGCGGGGGAAGACAATGTGATTCCATCTGTGGTGGGCCACGATGGGATTCCTTTTGCGCGGGTTCTAATATGCTTTGGTGTAGAAGATTACAAACGGATTCCCATTGTCCCTCCAATGTTTCCTGATTGTCCTTTTCTACCTTGAAGATAATATAATGTTTTTCCTCCGCGTGCCACGCGCGCAGCGCGTTGCACGCATGGTGAAAGCGCATGCACTAACCGCATGTTGCGCATGCTTTCGCGCGCGTGCGCAAGCAAGGACAGTGTCACATGCGTGCGCGTGCGTTGTGTTTGGCACAGGCCACGTGCGCGAGTGAACCAGGGCACGGGCCCGACACGCCACAGGGCAGACGGGGCGCGGGCCCCCCCCGAGAGCCAGGGGGGCACGGGCAATTTCCAATGTGCGCCAGCGTGGGCAACACACAGGTCCCGACCGCGAGACCAGAAAAGCTTAGGCCACCCAAGCACGGGCCTGCGGGGCCAGCCCGGCGGCCAGGGCACGGGCCCCGACCGCGAGGCTCGGCGGCGAGGGCACGGGCCCCAACCGCGAAACCAAAAAACGTAGGCCGCCCAGGCACGGGCCTGCGGGAACAGCCCTGCGGCGAGGGCACGGGCCCCAACCGCGAGGCTCGGCGGCGAGGGCACGTGCCCCGACCGCGAAACCAAAGGCCTGAAACCACCCAGGCACGGGCTTGTGGGGCCAGCTCGGCAGCGAGGGCACGGGCCCCGACCGCAAGCAGGACGCTGCCCAAACACGGGCCCTTGGGCCTAGAAAGCCCCATCGGCGAGGGCACGGGCCCCGTCCACCAGGGAATGCTCGGGCAAGGGCCCAACAGGCATGGGCCCAATCGGGCGTCTTGCCCGAAGATAGGTTTGTTCCCACCGCGCCCTCCCCTCTCTTCACTGTCCTAAACTTCGTAGGTTTCTGTTACCTTCGTTGATCCAGGGCGTTCATGCCTTCCCTTCCCAACCTTCGCTCCCTCGGAGCACAGTTGCGGCGACGCGCGTGCCCTGGTCTGGACGTGCGACCGGCGCGTGGACGCCGACAGGCTTCGGCAGGTGGCAGTGAGGGTTTCAATCTCCCCGCTGTGTTGTTACAGGTTTTCTTCATTGTTTTCCGTATTTTCCTGTCTTTTCGGCGCCTTTCCCCTGAGGCGGATTACAAAAATATCTTTTTGGAGGCGAATTGCACAAGGATTCCTTTTGTGCGTGTTACAAAGGGAGTCCTTTTATTTTTGTGGCGCATTCCCAAAACATATCCCTTTTTTGATTGCATCCTGCGAAAGAGTTCCATCGGTAATGGGTTACAAAAAGATTTCTTATGTGGCGGCGTACAAAAGGATTTTCCTTGTGGAAGTTTACAACAGGGCCCCTTTTTGCGGCCGACTACAAAATACTCCACTCGCGGCGGATTAAACAAGAATTTCTTTTGTGGCGGCGTATAGAAATATTCTTCCTCTTCATCCTACTCCTCCTTCTCCTCATCGTCTCCGTCCTCCTCCCCATCCCTCCCGCACCCGTTCAATCCTCCACCTCTTCCTGCTTCTCCCATGTTATCCCCCTCCCGCTCCTCAACCCTTCTCCTCCGTCCTTCCTCTCTCCTCGATCGCTCCTCCTCCTCATCATCATCCTCCTACACCTCCCTCCTCCTACGCCTCCATCCGCCGCAAAAGAAACTTCGTTTTTTGTGGAACCCCCTACAACAGGAATGCATGCGTACCCCTCCCCAAAAAAATATTTGTAACCC